TGTTTATTTGTTAATGTTGTTTCATTAATGCTGCTATGTTTACAGAACAAAAACAACTATCATTGGCTTCTACAATCGTGGTATGCGGCTATGGACCGTGTTCACGTCAGAGCTTGGAGTGACCGTTCAGTGTCTGACGGGTTACATAGTGTGTTTACACTTGACATGTGCGACGAGGTTAGTAGTCAGCTCACCGTCGGTGTCGGGAAAGTACTACCGGGATTTCACCAACAGGAAGGGCTGAACGAGCTTCGTCATGCAAGGCGTCGTGGACGATCACGGAAGGTAATTGCAGCGGCCAGTGACGTACGGTATCCATTGGGTGTCATGCATTATGTACCGTCGTGATGAACATCGGTATCATGCTGTTCACAATTTGTACCTTTCACAGGTTTGAACACGTCACCTACCAGGACCCCGGGTCGTCTCACGACGCCGCTGTCCCCGCGTCTCAAGCCTCTGGGACATGGCTCAGCGACAGGAGCTTCCTCAGGTGCAAAGAGCCCAATAATACAGGCTCCAGTTATTGCAGTGAAGAAACGGGTGTAACTTTGTAATCCATAATGTCATGTAATTCTGCATGTTTAGGTGTTCCAAACAATTTAGAATTGAAATTCCAGGTTTGCTACATTTGGGTACCGAGCCACGCCGACAGGACCTGGCTGACGTTGAGTGTGTGGCTCTGTACGAAAGGGAAAACCACGTATGCTGTTCTTGAAGGCAAATTACAAAATGTTCAGTAGATCCAATTCTCTGTTAAGTGCAACAGAGTTACAGGTGCCTCACCAATTGTGCAATACCTCGTATTGTACTGTATATTGATGCTGTACCTCGGGTGTCGAAAAGGCCAGGATGGAGGTGTCCTAAGATGGAATGAGGTCGGGTCATGCAACATGCGATCACGTGTCATCTTTCATGCAGCACTGTCGTCGTGGATCTTCGTGTATGCACGCGTTTTGAGTTCAGGATAAATTACAAAAATCACATTCTGGTGCTCTCACAAACATGGAGTGGAACACCTAGGCATGCACATATGTGCCTGACGATAGATTCTATCACGCTTCAGGCCCGGGTCAGAGTCGATAGCGGGCTAAGTCGCAAACCGATGCTAACGACGAGGCATTTCAAATAGCACCCCACCGCTACCATAAGTCGACGGCTCAACATCCGGTCCATCTGCAGGACGACGACAGCGCAGGCACCCAATGGCAACCGTTAACAAAGTGTACTGTGTGTTGCTAGGCACTAGCAGAAAATGGTCATGCGCGCAATCCGTTTGAAAATAGATGTCACAGTACTGCACTCCTGTCAAATGCCAGCAGGCAGGGAGGTCAAATGGCAAAACATTACACCACCAAATGCCGTACTCCCGACCAGACGCGTAACTGGAGCCCAATACATCAGATCGTACGCACGGCACGATCACATTCCACAAACAATTCAAAACAAAAAACAATTCCACAAACATAAGTGTCCCATGGGATCCTGGATCGCCCTCGGAATCCAGGCACAAGTCCATTTCCATATGTTTGGCGGATGGTGCCGGTAGCGCAGTGGTTAAGCTGCGTGTCTGGCAAACGATAGGTACGCAGATCACATTCCTGCTGTGCCTACCCGTCCTACAAAGATGTTAGGCAGGCGAGCTCAGGTTTTTCAGGTTCGAGTTAGGCAGACTCCCCTGCTGATTGACGCGCTTTACAGCATCACCTACACCAAAACCAGTTTGTCCATACATGCCTCAAAACTGACATCGGCTAACTCTTCGACGGTGGAGCAGTCCCCGGTGTCGACCTCGGTCGAGTGCCGTTCGCCCACTGTTATGAAGAAGTTTGTTTTTTGCATGTGACGCACCAGTTTCTTTTTGGCATGCATGCAGACAGTAGGTTTGCATGTGACAGCAAATACTGGACGTGCCAGCGAGAGCTCGTGTGGCATCGTGTGATGCCTGAGTACAGTTGCTGTTAGAGATCATCGCATGGTCTGGGGAATCCGACCCGGCGCTAGGTTACAGATCCGGCGGACACCACATCTGGAGCGGTTCATCGAAACACAAGAGCGAAGGTGACAATCCAGCCCTTTCAGAACCCCACAAAACCTAATAACTACTGCTGGTTTGTGCATACACAGTGGCTCTATCAGTAGCAGTCCTCATCAGTAGCCAGTAAGTAAAAAGTATGACATGCAGACTAACTGAAAATGACTGTCAGCGAGTCGGCATCCGTCTCGGCCGCAGCGTCCTCTACGTCCATACCCATCCTGGACAGTCTACTGCAGGATACCCTGCAGCCAAATAGTTCCTCCAGCTGTCGCCGGTGGGGTGACTCACGGCGACTTTCGCCACTTCTGCAATTCTTGATGGCTGCCACCTTAAACCTCCCTTCAATTTTTGAAGCTTCAACTTGATTTGCCCCAGTCTGACAACACCGGTAATTATATATAGACTCATGTGTTGTTATTGCACTTACTCAGGGCTGTTCATAATTCTGATTTTTCAACATGGCATCATGCCATACCAAGCATATTACCCCATATCATAAAACCACATCCTTGGTCAGGTCAAGATGAATAGTAATGTGCATGATGTCAGACCAGAGGGTCATTAACTGCTACACAAACCATGCACAGTGTTATACTGTTTTATACATGTTTGAATAGCTTTGATGTCACAATACCAAAACAATGCACTTTCTAGAAACATGCAATCATGGCAGGGGATAGTGATGTAAACCATGGACTAGACAAACTATGGGGCATGCATCAAACACCTGTGATGTTTTACAAATCATGTGTTTGAGGGTTGGGGGGGGAGAAGGTGTAGGGAGCTGTCAGTGATACATTAAATTATATGCAACATCTTAGTTTACAACATCTTAGTTGGTCAAATTTGGAGCAAATGGCCTGGAATGCTGCAAGCATGACAGCTTAGCCACCATCCCACTCCTGCCACATTCCATATAACCAGCTACTGGATTCACTGGATTTTTGGCCATCTGTGGTCTGGCATGAAGTCTTATGTTCTTGAAAAGCCCCCATCCAGACATTTCAGCCTGGAACTCATGACATATATCTAAATGGTGGGTCACCCTACCATCCAGAAGATCCAAAATTTTGAATTCCAGGAGGATGTCTAGGAGGGCTTTGACCTCCACCTCCTCCCAGTGTTGAGGCATCTGAGACAACTTGGGTGGTACCATGTCTGCAATCAGAATCATATGATGCATGAATTATAAGATATATACCAATTTCAGGCACATGACATACATGACACACACATCAATGATAATACATCAAGCGAAATACTGCAGAACACAGCTCAAACCAGCTTGTTTTTCACCTTTTATTGCCATCATATTGGACATAGAGCTAAGTGAGGGTGCACAAGTAATCAAAAATTGTTGTGTATTTCTGCATATCAATATGGTATGATTTTCAAAATGAAATGTTGATGGACACAATGCTTACCAATGTAACATCTACACCAGCAATACTCAAGATCTTGTCAAAATATATCATACTTGTACAGTCTAAGCATTTGAACAGACATTTGTATACCCTCAGAATAAGTTCATAACACATTAAGATGCAAATAATATGTGCATTAATCTTATATACACATTTCAAAAGCCCACAAAACAAAGTGTCTTTGTTCATATTCCTCATTGCTTTAAGTTGGAATGAATAATCATTACTCAAAATGCACACCTTTTACAGAATTCCCACGCCACCTCCGCATCAAATCGTCTTAGAAGAGCCAATAGTTCAAAGATCAGCTATTATCCTATCCATCCATCCATCCCTAAACTACACCATAGGCGGCCGTGAGCACCTGGCATGAATATGGTGAATGCGAAATATTTTGGAAGGGGTACCTACCTAACCACGCTGTGGCGAACCCACTTGTTCACTGGGATACGTACGTAGCCCACAGTAATATACTAACACGAGCCTTTGTGTCTGAAGCGCACGTGCAAGTTCTCACCCAGGCAAACAATTAGATAAGGTGGAATATCTCAGCTCATACACAAGTGTGACCAAAACACCGCGCTCCAGAATCATGTCGCGAGAAACAGATGTAGGGCGATGTAGAGGTCACGGATTTTTCAAATGATATCCTGGCAGTTAATAGCTCTTTCAAAACGTGCAATAATGACAGCGGAACACACGAAAAGCATAATTTTTATGTCAGTTTTCCGAATGATACAAAAAAATTTCAAAAAGTAGAAAGAAAGTTGAAAGCTTGCAGAAAAGCCTAGCATAAATCGCTAAATTCTGCAGCTTTCACCCTGAAAAGATTCATGGTCGCCGTCGTGATATATCTCGGCTATTATACAGTTTTTCATAACACGGCAAGTAAAATGTAGCGGTATATCATTCAGAGTGACAAATCAAACAACAGCGATCAATAAAACAGACATTGAGCGCGTATTTTTGATCTAATTAAGCTTAATGTGTGCTATTTGATCACTTGTATTTGAAATCAAGTAAGCTATAGAAGATATTCTTAATAAGCCACCTACCAAAGGTGGCTTAAACGAGTTGTGCGTTGTGAACGGGGCTATTTGTTAGAAGTCGACATTCTGCGTGTCCGTATTTCAAACATCTGCATTTCGCCGTCAGACTTTGGCCCATTCATCTTGAGCGTGACGATGCGCTGTTTTGTAATCTGGGCCGGCTCCTTTCCAGGTTCGCTTGGCGGTGCATCTGATTACTCTGCGAGACTCATCTAAAATACAGCTTGGGTCGTAGGCACAGGGGTTCTCAAGCTTACCTTTTCCTCTTTCTCTTGCAAGGGCAGTGTGTGTGCGACAATCTGAGCTTGGCCACTACTAAGGCTAATCAAAACAGCATTCGACTAAACAATGCAGTCGGGCCCGCGTCGACCAGCGCTTTCTTTTCGTCATTCCGCAACACCTGCTGACCTGAGGAGGACGCGGGGTCAGCGGGTTACTTACCTCGCGGACTGACGGCGCGTAGCGGTTTCTCCCAGCGCCCCGGAGCGGAGGACCAGACTTGGCCAGCCAGGCCAGTAGTGACACCAGGCCTCCGCCGAGCGGAGCGCACGACCTCCCGTCCATGCCCTTGGGCGCGAGCGGCAGGAGTGCAGTGGTCTAACGCCGACCGAGGCCCAACGCAGCGGAGGTCGGTGCTCGCAACAAGCAGAGGCTAAGCTCGCCGTAGCCATGAGCCAGGCGGCATGCCTCCAGCAGTTCACAGCGCTGCTGGCAGCCACGGGGACCACCGCATTCGCCTCGCTCTCCATCAGCCTTTGCGTCCGCACCATTGAGAACTGTTCCAGCATAGACGTCGGCCTCAACAGGCGGTTTGGCGCGGCGGACGGTGGTTGGCGGATGCGCAGCGATGCCATCGAGCTGATGCAGGTCACCCAGCAGAAGCGACACACAGGCCGGCCACAAACGCAGAGAAGCCATCCGCAGGTAGGAACTGGGACGGACTTCATGCGTGAAATTATTTGCCTCTGTTTTTGAACATTTCAATGTAGTGTTTTGCGGATGTACTGGAAATCAAGTTTACAGGAAAAGCGCAGAATTTTTGCGAGGACCAGCTGATGGCAGTTCTTGACGTCAGGCACCATCCTCACACCGTCCCACAGCGTCGCGTCAGGCCTTGACCACATGTAGATCCCATGTCGTCACTGTAATAGATTATTTCGCTTAAAGGTAGTGTTCAACATTGGTTTGGGGTTTGGAGCTCAAATAGCCATTTTGAACAGCATTCGGTGCAGTGCTTGGCCCTGTCCTTCTTAAGACCTCAACCAGTCTAGTTTCTGAGCTATACGCACGTAAATATGTACATGCTTTTTATGCAGAGCATTTCAGGGTCACCCAGGCATCCGTGACGCAATAATAACGTTATTTAAATCTTGCCATTCCGTTGGCCATGCGGCGATCAAGGCCAAGAAAAAAAGGGAACTGTGAAGTCATTCACATCGGGCATTCGTGAGCACAATTTCCAGACATAACGATCATCAAGTGGCTCTGAATCAATGTGATGCAAGGCAGGATGACACAGTCAAATAATGGCGTAATGATGAGTATATTTACTAAATAGAGATATTGCGTTATCTTCAGCAATCTTTTCCACTCAAAAATATAGAAATAATTAAAAGGAAGCTTATTTTATCACATCTGATGCTTGCTTTGATGTCTCCTAATATGGAACATCCCACCAAAGGGACTGCTCTGCCTTTTGGGCATGTTTCACGAACATTATCTAATGACAATTCAGGACCATAATAACAATAGTCTACTGTTGATATGTTATGTATACGCACATATGTATATGTAAATAGCAATGGGCGGTGCGACTGCAGCACTATCAAGACATGATAAGACATTTTAATTATTCTGAGTTCAAATTAAGCTTTCAACGCTTTGTATCAGAAATGTGCGTTGGCACTGCAGTTGTCGCGACGACCGTCGTTATGACAACTACCGTGGCACCTCTACTGGTGTATTAAAAGAACATTTGTAATTGGACCAGTGGGCGGCAAGACCCTCTCAGATGGAAACGTATTGGTGGAAGCTTGAGCCAGTGTGCCATTATGGACCATGAGATGCTTCCATTCCCAATGCAAAAATGCGCCTTGAAACGAGCTGCTGTGAAAACGCCATAGAGAGGAAATTAAAACCGCAGATTAATGTTTCGGTGCATTCCCAGGATAATAGCTTCTTGTTCACAGGCAAATAGCTTCTAATATGTTTTGTTTAAAGAGAAAGTTTCGGGCATTGGCGATACGTATTACACCAGCATGTCGACGAATAAGTGTGTTGCAAATATGACAGTAAACACGTTGCAAAAGCGAGGCAAATTAAATGTATTACTTTCATGGTGGTGAGCAGGGAGTCCAACAAGATTTTTCCTGCAAGATACAGCTTCAGATCGAAATTTTGAACCACTCAGAATTATTTCGAGAAGAATGGTATTGCTTATAAAATCGTGCGCGTGTAATCTAATGATAAACGAAAAGTTAAAAATGTGGTATAACCCATTTATAAAAGACAATGTTTGGCGTCCGTCTTGTTGTCATATGGCGTCGCGATATTCTTGGCATGCCATAAAGTACCACCATACGACTATCACTTTCATAGCGGTCAATTGATCATCGGTGATGAGTCGCCTACTTTTTGTTCGGGGGGGGAGGGGGGAGGAGCGCCTGCTTCCATCTCAGAGTGACGGCTCCGGGCAGAATGAGGGCAGTGATCTCATGGTAGTGATGCATCTACGTATCGAGCCCACTAGACTAATTATGAACCAAGTCCATTCCCTAAGGCGATGTCCATGTCACTCAGCGGGTGTTTGCTAGCGGGCGTTTGACCATCCCCGGATGGCGTTGATATATCCGATGCTGGTAAATCGGTAGGACTCATGTAGACGCAAAATATGTCCCTGAGCCATACAAGCTAGGTGGTTGCCAATTTATAAACGCACAGGTTAGTCATGGTGTAGCACCAGATGTAGGTGACGGTAAAATGTATGGTAATTTTCACATCTGTCAAAGTTGAATGAGCGGTGCGACAGAAATCGCTAAAAATATGTAATATTGGCAGCTGCTGCCTGTTATCCGGGATAAACGCAACACTTCGACCCAGGTTGGAAGTTGTTGGGGCCGCCTGCGAGAATTGTCCTTCCTGAAGGAGAACAAGGCATGCTACGTACTTTGTGTCCCTTTAACAGCCTTTACACGCCGAGCGCCATCACGGGTCAGAAAATCAAGTTGCGTCAGTCTCTCCTTCAAGACCCTGCACGCTCTTCACTAGCTTTGATAGCGACAGCGATTAGGGATGGCCCTCGACAGGAAAGTGCCGTGGGGCAGACGACCTCGCCCAAGCGGACTTATTGCGGGAGGTAGAAGGAGGAAAAGATATGTACTTAACAGTTGTCACTAAGGTCTTCGGAATGGGCTTTAGAAGATAATCAAAATATCCACATTTTGGTGTCTGTGAAAAATGCAACAACAGCGACGTTTAACTTACAGTTAAAGGAAATGTTCCACACGTTAAGATCTCGAAGGAAGTGCGATGCCTGATGAAATAAACTCACTTATGACTATGAAGATAATTTTAAGTGGAAAAGGCTGTTACGAGACAACACAAGTTTCTTTCTTTAGTAAATGTGCTCCCCAACACGTCATGGTTTGATTACGTTATCGCACCCTGCACAACAATGATTGAGAGCCATTTGACGGTCGTTATATCTGAAAAAGGCGCTCACAAACGCCAGTATAAACAACTCAACAGTTACTTTTTTATTTGCACTGATCGCCTTATGGCTTATGGAATGACAGGGTTTTAATAACGTTAATGTGGCGTTATGCATGCCTGGGTGACGTTGAAATATCCCCTGAAATTCTCTGCACATCTTCGCGGGCGTGTCTTACTAAGAAACTGCAGGGGTTCAGGTCTTCAGAAGGCCAGGACTGTGATCTGCACCGAATGATATCCAAGAAGGCTATTGCAGTTTTGAAACCCATATGTATGTAGACCATTCCCTTTAACAGAGAGTTTACAACTATTCTCATCCGCCCCCTCCATCTTCAGAATGGAAACAGTGTAGCGCAGTTGGGAAATCGTGCGTCGAAGCTTCGAAAGGTGTGTGGTCCGAGCGTCGCTCCTGGCTAAGGGCATGATAGTCCTTTCCCCCACTCCACCCCATCCCCACCCCCGGTCCTTCACATAAGTCAATGCTAAAGGATTCGTCGCTGAATGAGGCACGCTCCTGCCAAATGCTATCAGGTGAATATCCGTCCTTCCCTGCATTGCTCTGGGTTGTTTTTTATTTCAACGCACAGCAATGACCAGTGCCGGATGTCTGGCACTGGAGTTTCTACACCCATCACCACTGGTTATTTTTAGGACATTTATGTTACTTCGCGTGATGTGATCAGATTTAGTCACTTTAACGGTGCCAATAAGATCTATTCCCGGAGGGACACGGCAAAATCGGTCACTCTCTTCCCTCAGGGTTTTGGCTGGTCCTCAGAAACGATGCGGAGCAGAGCGCTGACATTGTGTGACACTTCTGCCGCTGCTGTAGGTCAGCTTGATCAAACGCGTGATCACTCGGCTACCCTCCGAAGAGAGGTTTGATTACCGGCCACGTTGGCTTGGATCGTGTAGCCGATCTCCCTCTTAAGGGCTCATGGACCCAACCTTTCCGTCCACGCCCAGTGTCGGGCTTCTGAGCGGGATTCTCCTCCAAGTGGGGACGCTGCCGACATTGCTTGAAAGCTTTGTGAAGTATAAAAATGGGTCCATAGATTTCGAAACAACAACCACACGGTCTGCTTGTCAGTTGTTTGGCCGGCATCGTATTAACAATTAGTTTCTGGATAGGTAGGCTGCATTTCTTTTTCCAGTTTGATGTTTAAAAAAATGCATTATACGATAAGACTAAATAATGATGCCATTGCGACATTGCAGAGGCCTTAAGAGCAATTCTGATCCACCAAGGTATCGGCATATATATATATATATATATATATATATATATATATATATATATATATATGTACATTAGCATACGGCTAGGTCTGACTTTCTGTGCATTTTGGGAAAAAATCTGTGATAACATAGTCGTCAATGCGTTTTGAATGTATGCATTGGTCACGTATAGTTATTAGAAGGATAAAAAGGTGTGCAGTTCAACTTGAAAATAAAATGATCCTATGTCCGTTCGGTGACCTTTGACTGCCGATGATCACCTATCCTGATCATGACGAGATTTGATATCCCTGAGACTTGTTCAGCAGCAGCAGAATATGTGCACATGCCCTATGGAGCACGGTCTCTCAGCTGCGTGATTATGCATTCACAGTTGAGTCCAATGGCGAAAAAATCGCCGTGGACAAGGCAACGATCAGTGGGGTCTGTGGCGAGCTTCATGATTACAAGAGTTTTAGGCTTCTAGTTTAACAAATGACCCTATCATGTCAGGTCAAAGGTGAAGTTTTCTCAAAAATCGGCCTTTCAGCTTTACATGCTCATATCTCCGAGATCATGCCTTGTAGTGGCATGAACCTGAAGGGGCGTGTTCCATGCTTAATGGGTAGTAAAACGATGCATAGATGTATTTTACGGCATGTTTATGATGCATGCCTCTGTCAATGTAACATTGTCGGCCCGCCGCGCGCGTTCCGCGGCATCATCGATTGCGTACCCAGAGGCAGTGTTCCTCAAAAACCGCCGCTGCTCCGAGATCATAAAGGCTAGAGATGTCTTTTTTGTGTCAGCACACTTCAATGGATGCCACATAGGCTACGGAGAATTTGGATGCGATTGCGCGACATGCCGGAGAGCTATTCCAAAAAACCTTAGGGGGAACCGCATCGACATCGAGCTATCCGAGCGAGGCTAAAACTAACGATGCATTACAGGGGACTCACTTTTCACTGGCAATCAAAAACAAAACAAGCGATCAAAGACGAATAGCATGTGGGGCATCATATGATTCAGGCGCAACGAAGTGCGTATCATATGTTTCAGAACGGTGCGGAGATTGCTGAGGCCTCGTCTCGCCAGATGCTTTCGCTGACTGACTGCCAAACGATCACAACAATCGCCGGTAAGAAAGCGTAGGCCTGGACGCGGCCTTGTTAGCTGTCACTTAATATGTCACTGACGTTGTTGTAGTGGATAGATTTGAGCGTGTTTGAAAACCTTGCCAACTTTGACGGCCTTGCCACGCTTGGCGCTCAAAGAATGTTGGTACGGCCTCTGTGGACTTTACATTCCATGGGCGGAGGCATATACCTGTCGCAAAATCTATAGGTTTTACCTCCGCCGTTTTGAACACCTATTCGTGCTGTCACGTCTGGTCGGACAAGACCCTTTTGCGCATTGGAATCTCCTGCTGTCACTTTTACTGCTGTCACCTTCAGTAGTTCCCTGAGGTAAGTTCACGACATTGCATAACTTTGGCCTCGCATGAGCATGCCCCTCCCCCCCCCCCCCCTATTACATGCAGGACAATGATACTGGTTAAACGTAAAATATTCAGTAACGTTGTTTTCAAGCGACCTGAAGACTTGACTTGACGTGTCTTCACGTTAAATAACCTCTTCGCTGCCTACTGGTCATGTTCAGTCACTTCCGCTTATGGTATTACGGGTTTGGAGGCTAATGTCGCGTAAGTCACAATATTTTTTTTCCGATCTTACTTTGACCTCGAAGCTTCCTAAGAAAATTCAAAAGCATTGATGGCGTTTGCGACACAACGCTTTGACAACGTGCGAAGGTTTTGGTAAGGACATCTGAATACAAAACGAAAAACTATGTCACGGGTCGCAGATTTCCGACAGTTTCGTCTTCCCGAGCTTTAAGAACTTGATCATGAATTGGTGACCTGACGCGGTGCAGAACGTAAATTCATCAGGTCCTGTGTGAAAACATTGCTAAACAATGGGAAATAGCACGATGCGCTGAACAGTTTGAAAGATTCTTCCGTATCACAGGTAGGAAGGCCCCTCATTTCCATGGAAACGGTTAGAAACACTGCCTCAGAGGGCGACAAAGTGAAACACTGTAAAATATTGCCGATCGATGCAACATTGACACTGCCTCGTTTGTAAACAAAACGTTCAACAACCATATTTATTTTTAATATACATAACTACAATTGTTTCATCACACGTCGGCCAATAACAAAACCGAGCGAGATGAAGAAAAATTATTGGCTCTGGAGCCTAGAAGTACACGGCATAGCAAAAGTTTTTCCCGAAAAATTACATTCGTGAGGCGGGAGCAGATCGAAATATCGCTGTAAACCGACGCTCGGCGTTGCAGTCGCCGTATGCTGGGCGGCGGTGACCGCCGCCGGAAACGTCAAACCGTGGGCGGCAGGCGATACAAAATAACTTCGTGTTGGAAACGATGCTACTGGGCGCTCTTGAAGCGACGCGTGCAAATATGTGACATTGTAAGGTCCAATATGTCAAGGCCCTCGGGTCTAAGATCATCCTGAGATCAAAGTCAGACATTTCCCGACTGACTCGCATCTTACACATGGCCGAGCATGCGTATTCGACGCACCGGTCCAAAGAGCAGCTGCTCAGAGGCCGAAAACCCGAACCGTGTGTTGGCAAAGACCACACGGTAGCGGAAGTACCGTCGCAGCCGGTATCTACATATCGTCAAAGCCCCAGCCCTAGACCTTCTCAGCAGTGCGGCGCTGGTCTCACTGCTGTGCGGCGCGTCCTCGGGCACTGCCGCGCCAGCCGCCGCCAGGAGGGTTAATGTGCCGCGCTGCTGTCCCCATTCTGCGTACTGCCTGTCTCCCACTTTCCTGCCGCTATGCCACTGAACCAGAAGGCAGAGGCGCAGTGCGTGCTGCCTGTGGGAGCGCCGAGCGCTGGTCCAGCGGCACGCTCTCCGGTCTCCCCTCTCTCGAATTCCGTCCTGCATCCGGGAGGCGGTCGGACGGAATGATGCGGCGGCGGCAGTGGCAGCGGCAGCGACTACCGCGTTGCCGTGATCTGCTGCTGCGACTACCTGCGGCAGACGCGTTTAAAGGGGCTGTGAAGGAAGCACAAGAATCATGAAGGTGGTGAAAATACGAAACAATATATCAGGTAACCAGGCATACAATTGCAATTTCCATATTTACCAATTTCGACCAATTTCGACACAAATATAGATATAGGTTCGATCGATTGTAGAATAGACTGCAGTCGAAACAGGATTCTGACACTTTTGGGGAAGTGCTTAGTTTCATGGAATGTTCCACATTTGAAGATGTTAAAGCAAGCATCACGTATGATGAAATGCGCTTTCTTATAGCTGTTGTTGTACTTGTAAGTCAAAAAGAATGCTCGAGATTGCGCAATTTCTCTGTTAAGTCAATATGTTTCCCAATATGTTATTGTTTGATTACGTCATCACACTATGAACAACATAAATTGAGAGCCAATTGACAGTCGTTATATCTGAAAGAGCATGTTTACAAACGCCAGTATGAACCGCTTGACAATTAAACTTTGCGTGGTTCTTCACATCGTCGAATGGCTAATTGAATGACAATACTTTAATAACGTTAGTATGGCGTCATGGATGCCTGGATGCTCAGATGCTCATGGATGCTCAGAAACGGAAGGGGCTTAGGTCTTTCGCGGGCAGGGCTGTAAAATACACCAAATGATCTGTAAGATGGCTATTGCAGTTCCAAACCCCACGCAAATGTGGAACACCCCCTTTAACCTTTACCAGCTTACCTTCAAAGCAGATCTTTCTTAGAGTTGACGGTGGGGGGAAATCTGGTGGTGCCTGGGCTTGGCCGTGGGGATGCGGCCATGCCATGCCTCTCCTCCCATCACCGCCGGACACGCCTCGGTGACGGTGTGCACGGCTCTCTGCACCGCCCTGGCGCGAGCCAAATAGGGCGAGATGGCCGGCGGAGCTCACTGTCTATTGCGTCCCGCAGCTCGCCGTCGCTGAGGTCTCGCGGGAGTGAAGACTGGGTGACTGACCCGTGACTGGAGATCCGTTAGATGTAGCTCACGGCCTCAAAGTTTATTGCAGGGATGGCAAAGACCTTCCTCTTTTGCTGCTCACGTGCGGCGTTGATGATTCTTACGGTTCTCGTCCGCCACCTTGGCCAGCAGCAGCTGTTCCAGATGGGTTCAATGTCCGTTGCGCTGCATGACTGGTTGTTCTATGGTCTGCGTATACTGAGACAGTTCGCGGAGTAGCGCAATATTCCGAAAGAAGCCGCGTGCGACCAATCACGTACTGCAAGATGTCATTGAGAGCACTGCGGGGGTCTTGGTGAAGACGTATGTTCGGAGCTGGTGGATGACCAGTGGCAGCCATATGAAAGCAAAAGCAAATATATGGAAATGATTCGCCACGCACTGAACGCTAGATCATATGAAACTTGTTGCACCTCTCCGGTACATGCCATTAAGCCGGTATTCAGAGCCCTTAAAGGGGGTGTTCCACATTCGCATGCGGTTTTGAACTGGAATAACCATCTTGAAAATAATTGCACGCAGTTTATTTGGCTGCCCTGATTTCCTGCTTTTTGTTGCAATCCTATACAATGTCTCGTTGCTTTCTATGTCCGGCAGTTTTTGCCAATCATATGCCTCCTTCACCGCGATCGAATCGCGCACGGTCTGCCAGCCATGGGGGCTTCCTAGAGCTATTTGTCGCATTTACCTGAAGGGAATGAGCCGGTAAGCCGGTATTCAAGGACGGACCCTTCCTGTCCTTCTAAACTATCCCTGAACACTTCCCACATCTGATGTGCAGTGAGACCAGTTAGAATATCATTTCGCTGGATGATAGCAAGAAAGGCTGTAAGTGCTTCAAACCTAGCCCTAGAAAAATTCGGAATGAGAGTATTATTAGCCTTGTTTGAATAACCCACACACAACGAAAGTCTCACAACATTACGGTCACTACCTCCCAGTGTCTCACCTTCTGTCAAAGCATCCACCAACCCCTGCCAATTAGTCATAACAAGATTTATAACCTCATCTCCCCTAGCGGGTTCACTCACCACCTGCTAAAGAAAAAATTTCTTCAAAACAAGCAAGGATATTTTTGTAGCTATTTGGCAATTGCTCAAAATCTACGCTCCACCCTGGGATGTTGAAATCTCCCTGCACCTCTCGATATCATTGTCAACTCGTTTATATCTGGCGTTCGTGAGCACGGTTTCCAGCTATGTCTGTTAACTTGCTCTAGATCAATGTTGTGCAAGGTGCTAAGGCGTAATAAAAAATGACGTATTGGGAAGCATACTCACTAAACAGAGAAGTTGTGTTCTCTAAAGCAGTCTTTCCCCCATCGGTGTATTTTAAGTGAGCGTATTTTCCCATACCTGATGGTTACTTTAATATCTGCAAATATGGAACAAACCCTTTAAAGGTAACGGCAATACATATCAGCAACTATATTGGTAAGCATGACCCAACGTGCAAAGGAAACGATATACCATGGCACAGTGTATGCTAATGAGTAAATGCTTAACAATGGGTATATGCTTACTAATAGATACACAAAGAACCCAATGTGATGTCTCTCTCGTGATGAAGTTTCAACCTTCATTGCTACGAATTCGAAGAAAATATGTGTGCATATTTACTTGGCATGGTTCAGTTTTCCTTGGTCAGCAATATGGCAACTGATACAAAATCAGTTGCTGCATCCTCTCTACACTGAGTTACCATGACCAAATAGTCTCCAACAGCATTGTGTCTCATGGTGTGTTGCGTATGTCGAGCGTATGTGTAGCCGTTTGGGCGCATGTTCTTCCCCTCCTACCGGTGAACCCCAGGCTTTGACCACACCGATTAAAAACGACGCAGATTAACATGAACGACATCTGCTGTGTGTCTCCTGATCACGACTATTTGAACTAAGAAAACTTCAACGCCTAAGGTGGTGAAATCAGTTCGAAAACTGTTTGTGAAACATATCAACAGCATTTTTTTCATAATGTCTTAAGTTATACTAAAAGGTGTACTGTTCTTCTAGTCTCTGGGTCTGTTCTCGGCAAGAACTAAGCGGGTGACTCAGTCACACTACACCCGGGTTGCACTGGAGAAAGTAGGCAACCGATAC